TATATACATATATATGTATGTATATGTATAGATAATAAGTTTTGCTGGCATTCCAATTAAGCGACATACACGATGATTTTATAATTGTTGCTGATTTATCCTTTCTCTTTTTCTTTAAAGATAAAAAAAAAGATAAAAAAAATTATTTTTTTTTCCTCAATATCTTTTTTAATTGTCTATTCGATTCTCCTTCATCTCGTTCATTTCTATATATTTATTTTCATATCCTTTTTTCATCCTTGTACTCTGATCACTGTTCCTATTTAAAGTTTTAAAAATTTTTAAAAGTAAGGGGTAGAGAACGATATCGTTTATCGTAGTTTTTAATGCGAAAAACACTTAAGACACTTGTTAATCTCGATTATTAAATTCGCGAAAAATCTATACGTGTTTTCTCTATCAACGCGAAACAAATCTCTCTCGAATTCTCTCTTACATCCTAAAAATCGTATCGTCATTCGAGTAGCGAAACAATTTGAACAAATTTCTTTCTTTATTCGTTCGTCGAATGTGTATATCTTCTTCCATATGTTATGAATTATCTTATATTGTAAAGATTGAACCACGTGTTCTATGTGGTTTGTCTATTCGAATGGAACGAACCGATAAGAAAAAGAGAAGATAAAGGATATTCGAAAATGTAAATCGCGTAACTTCAGTCACTCTCGAAGTTGTAATTTTGTTCGTTTCTCTCGATTACACGTCGCATGACACTATACACAGTTCACACATGTTTTTAAAATGTTTTTCTGCATTTATAATGTCCTAAATAAAAAGTTTCGAATCGTGTCATGAGAAAGATTATTCATTCGAAACTGTACTCGAATACAAACCACTTTGCACGTACGAAGAGTTTTGTTTCGAAACTTTCGAACGTAAAAGTCGATTCTCGAATCGAAGCTCGTATTCGCGATCAGAACGCCATCTTTCGAACTCGTCGCTCCAGCGAAAAGACGCCACTTGTGCCGGTGTAAATATCAAGTGAAATCGTTTGCAAAGCGAATCGCGGAAATCATCATATTTAATATTGTATTAGATATTGTATCCGAATAACGCGAATAACGAATTATTAATGTCACGATGTGTGAATATAAGCGTATGCAATATAATTTCCGTTAATAACGTTTTTCAATCGTGACGTTTTGGCTTTCGATTATTCTTTTTTTAAAATTTTTTTCTTTTTTGCAATTTAACGTTCGCGTCTCCGTAATGCAAATTCGAGTTAATCGAAGGTATAGTGAATACGCGATCATTGCTTCGTTCTCTTTTACTTCAAATCACTTTTTGCTTTGAAACGCAACGACTAGGAATCTGCGCGCGCATCTATTGCTCATGGCTGTCGGTTGCACGTTACGGGAACTCCGAAGGAAGGACGAATCGTTCAAAATGGTATTATTTTTTGTTCGCTTTTATTTGGATGAATCAAACTGATCGTTTCATTCGATCGCATCTCGTATTCGTCTCTCGAATAGAGGGAACCTGAGAAATCAACCGATCAACTGGTAAGTATATATCTTTCTTTTTTCTTCCACTTTGGCAATGCGATGAAAATATCAATATTTTACGAATATAATTCATTTATTTCGTTCGTATTCGATGCGTGCCAAAATATCTCTATGCTATACTCGATACAAATTGGCTAAGGCTTTGGACTATCTCCGGTATATTTGCGACTCTTGCGAACGTACAGTCGCGTATACGTATCGCGTGTTTATACTCGGGCTATGTACAATTTTTAACACATAATGTTATATGCATATTTACCGATAAGAAAGAGAAGACGGGGAAAAAGGGTGGATATAGGAAATGGGAAAAAAAGGTGGTTGAAAACAGGGACACGGAACAGGGAAGATACGAATAAAAATGCGAAGAGGGACATAGATCGGAGTGAAAAGACGTCGCGCGATAAATTAACTCGCTGTTCGACGAGTCTCTGTGGTCCTGGGTATCTATCTATGTACAATCGACGACGTCTGATCGATCTGAGATCAAG